GGTTGGCGATTTGAACCCACCATCTACTCCATGGGACAAAGATGCTTCTGTAAAGGTTTATAGCCTTGGAAACCCTCCTATGGGGCAGTTCTACTCTGCCTTATAGGGTCACTTGAATTGGAGTTTACTCGATAGTACCGTTTCCCCGAAAGTAAGACATCCCCCGAAAATAAGGCCTACTTACAGTTTTGCCTCTCGCTGAAATATAAGGGATCCCCCCGAAAATAAGACCTCCCCGAAAATAAGACCTCCCCAAAGCTACCCTAACTCTGGATCGTAGCGGCAGGCGCCTCCGCGCAGCTCACTGTTGGCCACAGTGCAGCCGGAGCAGATAGGAAGTGCAAGGTCTCTTTTAATAAAGTAATAAACAATAAATGTGTACCGTGTTCTTCTTCATGGAAAAATAAGACATCCCCTGAAAATAAGACCTAGTGCATCTTTGGGAGCAAACATTGATATAAGACACTGTCTTATCTTCGGGGAAACAGGGTAGTGAGTTTGGTTTTCCAAGTTTTTGTGCATTTATGTGTCTGTGTCCAATCTAGTCTTTTTATTATCCAGATGTGCTTCGTTTTAAACTCTATGACCTCAACCGACTGATTCCCTTCTATTAAATTGCATTATGGAATGCGATTCCATTGCATTGTATTCAATTACACCCAAAGGTATAAAGATAAAAATATTTTGAGAGGATCCAATTCCACCCATAACATGGAACTGCTTGATCCTCACTGTCCACACCCCAGACTTGAGTGGGGGTGGGGGGAAACCACCAGCAGCTCGCATTTTGAAGGTCAGGTCAAGTTTACCCCACACTAAACCCTTGGCGTCACTTACAACGTCGTCCTTTTCCAAGGATTTGCTTTGGTTACAGTCTGTGAATAGCCTGCCTGCAATGAAGAGTTGAGTGCCAAGTGACATCACAGTCTTCTTGTTCTTAGTGCCCCCCACCCCACCCCTGCATAGAACCACCGAAGTTTCCAGAAGGACATTTAAGACATGCCCAACTTTTCAAGCACTTGCTAGGTTTAGTTCCCCAAAGCTCTGGCTTGTATGACCCCAGGGTCCCTGGGCAAGGTTAATGGGTGAGCTCTGATTCCACTCAGGGTCTTTGGTACCGGTTCCTATGAGCTCAGGACTGAAGTCATTCATTCCCTCTCAGAAATAGGGAAGAAGATATGAATGAACCCCTTTCTACAGAAGCGACGGGGGCCAATAAAAGACGTTTATTGGCTGTTTCTCGATCGTGTTCTTTTTCCTTTTCAGACCATGCAGGCCTCTCTGTCATCTCTGAAGATGTTAGATGTGGGGAAGTGGCCCATTTTTTCTCTGTGTTCTGCGGAAGACCTGCACTTAATTCGACAGGCGTGTGTCTTCGGCAGCGCTGGCAATGAGGTTTTGTACACGACAGTACACAACGAGGTAATTTGGAAGGAAACCTTTCAGCCGCCCGTAGTTTGTTTTCATCATGGGTTTGCTGAACTGAAGAACTTGTGGGAACTGAGGAAGTCAGGTAGCCACGCTTTGGGCACCGTTTTTGGTAAGAGGCTAAGGGTCTCCTTTATCCAGACGCTGTCTCTCCATAGTTCTCAGGTCAAAAGAAGGGAAAGGAAGAGGTAACACAGATCTCCTACTTCGTGTATACCAAAGCCATTGGCTGTCTGTTTGGAGGTAATTTTTAGATCTGTCAGAAATAGAAATGCGCTAACCCCAGTGCCTTTTCTCCAAGGTGTTTGTGATCGGCACAAACTGCTGCGGCTGCCTGGGCTTAGGGGACGTCCAGAGTACCATCGAACCTCGGAGACTGGATTCTCTCAGCGGCAAGAACATAGCCAGCCTCAGCTATGGGAGCGGTCCACATATTCTCCTGGCCACCGCAGGTAACCGAGGGACACCCTGACCCTGTTTGTTGACAAACAAGGCCAGAGCCTCCCCTTCACCTGAAAATAGGCCTTTCGATTGAGTGAGCGTTCCTACAAACCCTGGCCCTGGAACCCAACTTGGGAGCTCCTATTTCCAAGTGAAATGTGGATATATCTGACCATCTCTGTGTGGGTCACAGAAAATCATGTCACGTGAGGAATCTAGCAACTGTCACTTTAGATACATGATTGCCGAGCCATCAGGGCAGCATGCTCCCCTGTTTATACTTTATAGGCAAACATTTGTTAACTAGAACTTGGAACTCAGTGTAGACTTCGACAAGTTCCTTTGTGAACTTTAAGTTCCCAGTGTAGAAAAAGGAGAGACAAAATCAGGTCCACAGAGTCCTTTCATCTCTTAAGGTTCTGTGAGGCTTACGCTAAGCACTGCTAATAGGCTGGAGGTGGCATCACAGGCATACACTGCATAATACTTGGGCAATGTCCAGCCACATAGCCACCATGGTCCTGACCCGTGTAAAGCCCATCATAGTAAAAATTGGAGGGAAAATAAATAAATAAATAAATAAATAGGAGGTACATACACTGGTCCAGAATAACAAATGGACACTACTTTGTGGCATGCACAAAAACATCAATCTTATCGTATTTTTGTGTTGAAGATCTTTTACTGTTTCCTGCCGTATCTCTTTACTATTTTTTTATGCGGAGAAAGGTCTACTATACTATAAGACAAACATTGGAGTTGCTGGTGCTAGCTAGAAATTGTACCTAACTGTACTGACTTACAGGGAGCCTTGGTAGCAGAGTGAATTATAGATTGGGGCTGTGAACCCAAAGGTCAGCAGTTCAAAGCCAGAAGCTGCTCCTGGGAAGATTTACAGCCTCGGGTAATCACGGGGGATGCCCTACCCTGCTCTATACTCTCACTGTGAGTTAGAGTCGACCTGATGGCATCGAGTTTTGAATTTGGTCCAGACTTCCACACAAATTTGACTGAAAGACAGACTTGTCCTCTCTTATAGACTATCTTGTGGGCTTCAGGTGACATATGCCTGTAGTAGTATAGGTACAGGTGTGGACTTACAAAGTGGTACTCATCTTCTGACAGGAGTGTCAGGCTAGACATGCGTTCCCAGCAAGCAGAGAGTCAGGTGTAAGCAATTCGTTCCTGAGAAGACTTCTATAACCAGCTGGCTGACATCATTCACGGAGGGGGTACATTTACTCTGCCCTATACCCAGCCAACTCTCTCCCAAGCAAAGCAGGGAGAAAGAAAATACATACTTCAGGGGATTCAGGGTGATCCTAAGGAAAACAAGGGTGGAGGGGAGGAATGGAGGGAAGAAGGAGGCAAGGAAAGAAAAAATAAGCTGTTTTTCAGAATATGAGGGGGTACCCCAAAAAAACCAGAATATTTTTTATCTTTCTTCCAAAGCTATATATTTAATTTTTTTTTCTCACAAAACAACCATATCACCTTCAAAGTATTCTCCATTACACTTCATGCATTTGTCAAACCTGCTATTCCATTCTTGGAAATATTGTAAAACTCATCTGTTTGGATGGCAGAGAGCACCTCGCTTGGTTTTTCTCTTCACCTCTTATCAAATCGCTGTCCTTTCTTGTCCTTTTTCATTCATGGAAACAAAAGGAAATTGCACAGAACAAGTTCAGGTGAGTATGGAGCAAGACAGGCTTGCTATTTTTTGCCAAACTGTGGTGCATTGAGATGGCTGTGTGACAGGGGCATTGTTGTGGTGGCAAAAACCGTCCCCTGGCTGCCACAAATCGGGCCTTTTTTGTCGCACACTTTTTCAATCATTTCAGAACCTCTCAATAGAAAGCTTGATTAACAGTCTGACCTGGTGGAGTGAGCTCCAAATGCACTACGAGTTGACATTTTCGTTCATTCAGGAAGTTGATGGACCTCCAGAACAAAGTTTGTCATCAATCGACATTTCACCTTTTTTTGAAACGAGAAAACCACTTGCACACTTGAGTTTTTCCCGTAGCGCTGCCCTTATAAGCTGTGTTCAATATCACAACAGTTGCTGTGGCATTTTTCCTGAGCGGGAAACAGAATTTCACAGTTCCACGCTGTTCCTTTAAATCAGCCATCACAAAAAACAAGGCTCAAGCAAAACCGCTTTTACGAAAAAATGCACTGTGACCAGAGAGCACCTTCCCAGGTGATGCCACTGGGTGCATCAACTCAAAGTGAATTGCTTGATGCCCACCTAGTGGGAAAATTGCGTACTGAGAAAGCTCTGCCTAGTTGAGCTTTTTTATGTTTGGGGTTTTTTTTTTTTTGCAGGGTGGTGAGGGGGGATACACCCTCATACATACTTCAGGGGATTCACGGTGATCCTAAGGCTTTATTTCTTGACTGAGTGATAGTTATATGGACATAGATAGTTATATGGATATTTGCTTTATTTACGAATCTACATGTCTATTTTATGAACTTTTCTGAGTGTGTATGATGTCGTACAATAAATAATAATAATTTTAAAAGTTACTTTAGTGATAATTTGCAAGCAAATTTTTTCCCATTGTTCTTAACAGCCCTTTCCCTGCTATTTTTTTTTCAAACCAAATTCTTTTTCTTTTTTTTTCTTTTTTCAAAAATTTTTTTAAAAACATTTTATTAGGGGCTCATACAACTGTTATCGCAATCCATACACACATCAATTGTGTAAAGCGCATTTGTACATCATTCTCAAAACATTTTCTCTCCACTTAAACCCCCGACAAAATAAAGAATAACAATTTAAAAAGTTACTTTAGTGATAATTTGCAAGCAAATTTTTCTCCCATTGTTCTTAACAGCCCTTTCCCTGCTATTTATCTAAAACCTGCCTTCCAGCTATAATAGCAGCCTGCCTTCAAATTTCCCCTTGCTGCTTTGAGGGACAATGCAGATTAAACTTTCTAAATGTCTCTCCGGCGGAATGAATCTGTGGACTAGATCGGAGGATTACCTTTTTGCACCCGCATCTTTCCCCTTCATCCGCGGGCACGATTCGCTCTGTGTGTTTGTGCGATTGTGACTTGGCCTGCTCTCTCTTCAGAAGGGGAGGTCTTCACCTGGGGTCACAATGCTTACAGCCAGCTAGGCAACGGGACGACGAATCACGGCTTGGTTCCCTGCCCTATCTCCACGAACTTGTCCAACAAACGCGTCACTGAAGTGGCTTGTGGGTCCTACCATTCTCTGGTGCGAACAGCTGATGGCGAGGTGAGACGAGCCTGCAGCACAGGGACAGTTTTCATTAATCTATTCTTGCAAAAGTTCCAGAAGTAAGATCACGGGATTAGGATTTGAAAAGATTTCTTTTTCTTTCTTTCGTGGTGTCATGAAGGAAGGTATTGACAAACAGGAAAACCCCAAGGTGGTAGAAAATATGACTGAGGCCAAGTAGAGGATTTTATCAATGTTATATATATATATTCAACAATAAATACTATTTCAAGTTTGCATAGATAGTACTGTCACTTAACTTCATAACATACCTCGTTTTGTAAAAATAAATTTTATAGCCATGTCTCTGCCTGTGTTGTAATCATGAGTGTTTACAAACAATGGGAGAAAAGGAGAGATTCCAAGAATGTCTATTAGTTTCCGGTTGAGGCACTTGGTAAAATGAGATGCTTTATTTATTGCTCTCATCCTTGCAATAGGTATTTGCCTGGGGTTATAATAACTCTGGGCAGGTAGGGTCTGGATCAACAGCGAATCAACCAATCCCCCGACGAGTCACGGGCTGCTTACAGAATAAAGTGGTTGTGAATATAGCATGCGGACAGATGTGCTCAATGTCGGTAGCGGATACTGGGGAGGTAAGATAGCTATTCCATTCATTCTTTTTTTTCTTTTTTAACATTTTATTAGGGGCTCATACAACTGTTATCCCAATCCACACACCCATCAATTGTGTAAAGCGCATTTGTACATCGTTTCTCAAAACATTTTCTCTCCATTGAAACCCCCAACATTAGGTCCTCATTTTTCCCCTCCCTCCCCGCTCCCCCCTCCCGCATGAGCCCTTGATAGTTTATAAATGGGTATTTTGTCA